GAGCTGGAAGCTGAGAACTGGCGACTTTGTAGTACAACTTTAGTACGTGGAGCAATCTGTAGAGCTGGAAGCTGAGAACTGGCGACTTTGTAGTACAACTTTAGTACGCGGAGTATCTGGCGAGCTGGACGATGAGAACTGGCGACTTTGTAGTACAACTTTAGTACGCGGAGTATCTGGCGAGCTGGACGATGAGAACTGGCGACTTGGTAGTACAACTTTAGTACGCGGAGTATCTGTGGAGCTGGAAGCTGAGAACTGGCGACTTTCTAGTACAACTTTAGTACGCGGAGCAATCTGTAGAGCTGGAAGCTGAGAACTGGCGACTTTCTAGTACAACGTTAGTACGCGGAGCAATCTGTAGAGCTGGAAGCTGAGAACTGGCGACTGTGTAGTACAACTTTAGTACGCGGAGCAATCTGTAGAGCTGGAAGCTGAGAACTGGCGACTTTGTAGTACAACTTTAGTACGCGGAGGATGTGGCGAGCTGGAAGCTGAGAACTGGCGACTTTGTAGTACAAGTTTAGTATACGGATGAGGCATCTCTCGCTGCTGAGTCATCTCTCGCTCCTGAGTCCTGTCACACTGCGGAGTCATGTCTCACTGCAGAGTCATGTCTCGCTGCTGAGCCATCTCTCGCTGCAGGGTCATCTCTTGCGGCTGGGTCGTCTCTCACTGCTGACGTATCTCTCGCTGGGGAGTCATCTCTTGCTGCTGAGTCATCTCTCGCCGCTGAGTCATCTCTCACTGCTGAGTCGTCTCTGAAGAGATCACCGCTGATTTCGACGACGACGAAGGTTACAGGCGTGGAGTACGCAAGTTGTGGGCTGGGACGCTGCGCTGTAGATGCGTGTTGCGCTGTAGGCATGGAATGAAGGCATGAGACGAAAGGCAAGCTTTCCGCAGCCGTGTCCATGTACTTGACACTGAATGCAGAGCGTGAGTTTAGAGACACAGCAAACACGCAGAATCAGACGAATCACAAGCAGACTGTCAGAGTTGGTGCGCGAGTGTTGAAGCACTCATGCTTTTCTGCGTGGCGTGTGGTGTTGTGACCTGCGTTGCGGTGGAAATTGTAAATTCGAAATCCTCTGTAACTAAATTCATTCCGACGCGCGGTGGTGTGACCAACGTCATGTCACCACCCTCGTAGCTAGAGAACCACCCCCGCCGCCCGTTGTTCCACCTTGTCCAGCCCTGCCAGAGGCGCTGGGTGAACCATTCCTGGCTCTTGTCGGGAGGCATCGATCTGCGTGCGTCACTGTGGACCGCGCAGACAGCCGGAAAATGCGTTGCCCGACGAGGAACAGTTTCGCTGTTTTTGCACGGAGGAGCACACCAAATGTTGGAAGAAATGCTTTTGACTTTGAAAACACCACCCACTTCGCGTGCCCGCAGCAGCTGCATTTAACTTTCAATTGCAGATGCCCAGTTGCTTCAGCACGCCGGTGTGGGCTGCTGATCTTGCCTTGGTATAGCACAGACCTTGCGCAGGTGGCACTGTGGTGGTCAAAAAGTCCGGAGGGCGTGCGACTGACCAGGGACACGCATGTTGTTTTTGTTTTGGAACCCGTCCAGTCGGATTGGGTTGCCTGGGTATGATTTGTTTTGTTTTGGATTCTGTACGTATAGCTGACCATGACTAGGGACACTGTTTGGAAAGAACCAGCGGTTGGACTGGGTTGACTGGGTGTGACTTGCTTTTGTTTTGGGATCCGTACATGTAGCTGACCATGGTTTGAAGGCGCTAGCTAGCAAGCCAGAGAGCAACTGGTGACTTTGTACTACAACTTGAGTACGCGGAGCAATCTGTGCAGCTAGAAGCTGAGAACTGGCGACTTTGTAGTACAACTTTCGTACGCGGATGAGTCATCTCTCGCTGGTGAGTCATCTCTTGCTCCTGAGTCATCTCTCGCTGCTGAGTATCTGGGCAGCTGGAAAATGAGAACTGGCGACTTTGTAGCACAACTGTAAAGTACGCGGAGTATTTGGCAAGCTGGACAATGAAGACATGATTTTGAAATTGAAAACACCACCCACTTCGCGTGCCCGCACCAGCTGCACTTAACTTTCGCTTGCAGATGCCCAGTTGCTTCAGCACGCCGGTGTGGGCTGGTGATCTTGCTTTGGCATAGACACAACCCAGTGCGCTGATCCTGCAGGGAGCACAGACCTTGCACAGGTGGCGCTGTGTGTGTGTGTGTGTGTGTGTGTCAACAGTCCGGAGCGCATGTGTTTGGCTCAGTGAGTGACACGAGGGACACGCATGGTGGAGAGAACGTGGACACTCCTATAGGTCAATGTGTTCTTATAGGAAACTTCCGCCGCCGGCTTGCCCGGGAACTACTTGTATTATGCATGCTATCGAGACTCCATCACCAATTCCTTCGCTTTCAGGACATCTTTGGGCATGTTCTCCACCTTTGATGGCACTGTACGGCCTCGTGGTGAGGGGCTTCGGCGGCGGGTTCCAGTCGCTTGAGATCCCTTTGCTCTGGACTCCTCAGGAGCTGAGATCCATTTCATCCTCAAGGCTAGTTGAAGCATTCCCGGCAGGTCATAGGCATAGCTTGATCCAGCACGACGCGCTGCCACCCGCTTGGCCTGGTAGCTCTGGGAGCTCGACTGATCCACGACTCCATCGGAGTGATCTTCCCAGCGCAAGGGGAAGCCGGTCACGGGGTCTGGGATCTCGCGCAGCAGCTTCGGCTTGAAGAACCCCCCCATGCAACGAGGAGAAGGAAAAGCGCAAGATCTCCAGGCAGCTGTTGTCTCGGACATGCACTTTCCTGACATGCCCCGGCGGCCGTATAAGGAACGGACCCAGACTATAACAATGTTGCATCTTGGTTGGTAATCCGCAGCATGTCAAGTCCAAGATTGTCCAAAACATCTATGTATCCGTGACAACTTGGTGGCAACCTGTGATAAGGGCAATTGTTGAACCGTCAAACCATTCTTGACAAAATCCAAGATTCACTTCAATCTGGTCCACATAAAGCTTGATGATGTCAGAGCCACGATGTCCCACATGGCTGCTGATGGTGTCCATAAAGAGCTGTTGAATCTGGGCTTTGGGCATGTCCAGCTCAGCCACCAGGTGCAAGAAGATCCGACTGGTGATGGTAGGTCCAAACTTGGAGACCTGCCACGGGCAAAACGGTGGGATCAGTCTCCAGCTGACAAACCTGACAGACCTGACAGATCTGTCCGTTCACTTTGGGGGTTGGTTGACAATTGACATTCCCAGGGACTCCTCTAAAGAAACTTCTTGAAACAGGGTCGTGACCCTCATGCCACATCATGCCCCACACTTGGAGACCTGAGGGTCCAGCAGCGCATGCTCAATCTCATCCAAGGCCATGTCCAAGCTATCAGAGAGATTTGAGCTCAATGACTCTGGGTTGATCTTGGACAGGTACAATGCACGCATCAGCAATTCAGGTGCCGGAGCCTTTCCACCTAAACTGGGCTGTGTGGCCAAATAGATGTGGGAAGTTGGGCGCACCTCCTTGTGAATGCGCTGGAGTTGGTAAATCCTCTTCAAAGACCCAAGCTCCAACATGCCTTGGAAGGAAGGCCACATGTCTCGACCAATCTCCTGCTCGGACCATTCTTCCATCTCGTCCAACATGAATCTGGCGAATCGTGGATGGCGAGGTGGCTGTGGCAGCACCAAGCAAATCTCGCCAACACCCGCAAGTTTCCTTGGTGCCACCAAGTGACTTTCATGGGGGAGCTACCCTGGGGAGAAATGTGCAGGACCCTTACATACCCAGTGTTCCAACGCTAGCCCAACATTAACCACCACAAGAAAACGATCGCAGGGCGGGAGCCTTTGGGCACAACAAAGTGCAAAAAAAGTTTCAGAAGCTGTGCTTTCTTCGCGAAGACTTCCTGGCTCTGCTGCAGTACCTTCTTCAGCTCAGCATCAGTGTTGTAGAACAGGGTGCGGTCTGTCACTGCAGGGAAGGCATCGCGTCCGACCACCACGTGCAGAAAGTTCAATGGCACAGCGCCACCACCCAAGGCCTCCAATTCCGGCAGCCTTTGATCCAAAGCGCCTTCCATGTGCTCCAGATCAGGTAGAACCAGCATCAGCCCATGCCTATTATGCACCTCTGTATCCACTGGGAAGAACTGAGTCCACAAAGCTGACTTCTCCTGGACCTCCAACTTTGCGAGCCGCCCAGGTTTAGCCAGCCAGTAGAGGTATGAGTGCATCGCACGCTTCTGCACCTGGATCTCAAAACATTTTAACACGGCTCACCGCACTTCACCCTGTGGTATCCCCATAGCGCCCTTGCGTTTCTCCACATGTTCATTTCAGTTTTCTGTCCATGCGCCCAACACCCTCAGCCGACACGTGGAAAAAGTAGAACCAACATTAAGAACATAGCCCCCCACGTGCCCACACAACCATTCCACTCCACCGCTAGCTGTTGGAGCCGCACCCCTAAAAATACGAAAGTTATCATGCCTTGAGATCCTCATCATGGAGAGCTTCCACCAGAAGCTCCACCTCCAAGTTGCCCTCCGAAGCTCCTGGGAGCTCCGAACCAGCCAGCTGGAAGGCCTGCAGGCGGAAGCGGCAAAAGCAGCAGTCCCACTGACTTTGACTCTGATTAGTAAGGCGATCACTTATATAAACTTGTCCATTTGGCCCATGTAGCATGATGTAGCCACTGGGGCGAAGTACATACATGTACATACTAAACTTACTATAATAAAGAAACACAAACTCAGGATGCTCCGTTTCTCGCTCAACTTAGGCAGCTTTCTTGGAAATCACAATCCAGTCTCAGGTTTGGTTCAGTGCAAGTGGCACAAAGAAACACCTTCAAGCTGAACAGCCACCGCCCACGTTGGGAGTTGAAGAAAGGCGGTAATTTAGCATTAGTTAGCCATGCAGAAAGACAAGGAACATGAGGCAAGTATATCACCAATTCGGGATGTTGAGAAATGTTGGGACTGTGCATGTCAGAATCAGAAACATGTTGGATGATGTTGGATGCTTTTCAGCCATGACATTCGCATCAGCTGGAAAGGTGCCAAGAATGCATGCTAGGATTGTTCCGTCAACCTTCAGCATCGCTTCAACTGGATGCGCCAGGCGCCTTCTCATCCAACTGTACCAGCTGCTCCCTCAAGCCTCTGAGACGCTGTGCATGGGATTCTGTGGGCAACACATCCAGCAGCCTCGGCCAGTGACAGATCTGATTGTGGGAGCAATCAATACCCTTCCTTCCCACAAACAGCCCAAAACGCAGGACATCAATATCAATAATCTAGATAAACGGTCGCAATCAAGATGCATCGATCTATCAACATGTCAAAAAACAACATGTATCTGCCTGAAGACTTCTCTCCTACTGTACGAAACAAAAGGCCATGGGACTGCTGTGCCAAATATCGCACGTTGCCGTAATCA